CTTATAAAACGTAAGAACCATCTGTAGACTGGATGTATTGAGATATGAAAATATGCATCCTGAAGGTCAAGGGTGGACAGTCAAGCTCCCTTTTCCAAGGCAGGAATGATGGTGGCTAGGGTTACCATCTTGAACCATTGATAATGAACAAAGCCATTAAGTTTTCGGAGATCTAAAATCGGTCTCCAACCCCCTGACTTCTTGGTGATGAGGAAGTAGTGGAAGTAGAATCCCTTCTCCTCATGTTCTGGTGGAACCTCTTCTATAGCCCCTAATTTTAAGAGCTGCTGTGCTTCTTATATGAGCACGTGCTCATGAAAGGGTTCCTGAAGTGGGATGGGGAGGGGAATTGAGGGTGGGGGATGGTAGTGAATGGGATGCAGTAACCCATTTTGATGATATCCAACACACACTTGTCTGTGGTGATGGTCCGCCATACTGGATAAAATGCAGCTACGTCTACTGCCAAATGCTGTACAAGGTTTGGATTGCTGCCTTGGAAATTTCGGTGCTGTCTAACCCTTGACCAGACCTTCAAAACGCCTTACGAGATGTTGAGGGTTGTTGCACAGTTGCCTGACTGGAGACCTGTCTGCTCCTGTTCTGTCTTGGTCGGCACCTGTTGTCGCAGTTGTTGGGATATGTAAAATTAATAGGTGTTTGGGATGACTATACATCAGTAGCTAATGGGTCTAGCCAGAAGAGGCATTGCCATTGCCCTTTAAACATGTTTTTCCTTTTTGTCCTAGCAGCCTTGGAAGATGGTAGCACTGATCAGTGTCTTGTTTTGTCTTTGCACTTGTCTGTAAAAACATTTTCAAGGTTGAAGTGCTTTCCCCCTCCCTATAAACTGCTGATTAAGACAGTAGGTAATGCTGATTCAACTAAAAACCAGTAAACAACAAACAGGAGCGGGTAGAATTGTATTCATCACCTACTTATTAATAGTCATTGTGTAGGAGTTAAAACTACTAAATAAGGTTTTAGGAAAAGTAGTGATAGACGTGTGAATTAACATACTAAAACAGACAAAAGGGTTGATTGGTACCAGGTTGTTGCCACTCGGACATTATGTTGAATGTCTAAGGTAAATGTGAGTGGGCAATAAAGCAGTTCTGTTTACCCCATCTGCTCCTGGGTCGCCTGTTTCTTCTCTAACAGTAGTGTCTTGGCTGTTGGTGAAACGGGATTGGTTTATATCTGTGTGAAAGATCTTGCCTAGGGTCTTCAATGTGGCTCATGAGTCCTTCATTGTATGTAGTGGGGCGCTGGTGGATCTGGCAAAAAGTTTCGTGCCCTCGAATGGTAGATCTTCAACCATGGACTAGGACCTCCCTTGGGAAGCCGGAAAGCTGGAGCCACGAAGCACACCTCATGACAATTGCTGATGCTAAGGACCTTGAGGCAGCATCTGTTGAATCTAAGGGAGCCTGTAAGACTATTCTGGAGATCAATGCTCCTTCACCGATGTTCGCTTTGAATTGCTCTTTTTTATTATCAGGAAGATTTTTAATAAAATTTTTAAGTTGATCGAATATGTGGTGTATGCACTTTGTGAGGAGGGCCACGTGTTTGCAATTCGGAGCTGAAGGCTGGCTGATGAGGAAGCCTTCTCGCACATTAGGTTCAGGCATTTCCAGTCCTTAGCATAGGAGACTGTGCACATGACTTGCTGCTTGCCTCTCTGGTTGACAGCGTTGACCACTAGAGAGTTCAGCGTGGGGCACGAGAATAAGGCCACACCTTTCAGGGCCACATAATACTTGCAGTCAGATCTTTTGCAAGTTGGTGGGGTTGTTGCTGGTGTCTGCCATATGGCTTTGGCAGGGTCTATGAGTACTTCATGCATGGGAATTGTCAGCTTGGAATGTAGTGAAGCATGCGGGATATTCATCAGTTTGTGCTGGGTCTCAGGCATAGCTAACAGTGATATTTCCAGCATGTCTGCTACCCATTTAAACAATTCCTGGAAGGATTTAAAATTATCCCCCGCATTGGGTGGCGGGGGAATGATTGTGTCATCGGGTGACGAGGATTAAAGATGTGTAGGTGGGGGTGAGTCTATTGTTCATTCTGCCCGTGATGTCAACTTGCTCTTCATCCTCTGAAAAGCAGGAACAGTAACAGTGATATTTCCAGCATGTCTGCTACCCATTTAAACAATTCCTGGAAGGATTTAAAATTATCCCCCGCATTGGGTGGCGGGGGAATGATTGTGTCATCGGGTGACGAGGATTAAAGATGTGTAGGTGGGGGTGAGTCTATTGTTCATTCTGCCCGTGATGTCAACTTGCTCTTCATCCTCTGAAAAGCAGGAACAGTCGGGAAGGCTTGGGCATCTGTGGTAACTGCAGCTGCTGAGGTTGCCCAACTCTGTATGCCATCCACTGGTCCCAATATGGACAGAGAAGCCACTGTGTTTGTTGCCACAGCTGCACTTGCTGCATTGGCTTGGACGACAAACTTCTGGGAGTATGCATCTGTTTAGGTGCTTCATCCTCATCATCACTAATTAAAGGCGGTGCCGACACTGGTTCTGAAAAAAAACTGAACCTGGAGGTATTTGGGGTGCCATCTGTCCCAAAGAGCAGTGTCCCCGGTAAGGACACTGTCAACTTTATTGTGGTGATAAACTGAGGCAATGGAGGTAGGGGGGAGAAGAATGGGCACCGGAGGCACTAGTAGTGTCAGATCCAGCATTAAGGCTGGAACCAGTGCTGGCTGCTTGTTAAGAGCGTCTGTGTGTTTCATTGGTGCCGACACTGCAGGAGCTTGTAATGGAGCACTCGGAGCCAGCACTAATTGCGGTCTTGCCGCTGCCACTTTTTGCGCTGCCAGTGCTTTCACCAGGTCCAGAGTGGAGCTGTTGTGTTTCGGCTCTGCGCTCAGCTTAAAGGATGAAGGACGGACCCTCTCCCTGGGGTTGCAGCTTTTCTCAGTGCAGGCCCTATCTGTTGACTGTTTCTCCAGTGCCGTAGGTGGAATCACCATGGAGACAGACTTTATATTCTGAGAGCATTTCCTCACTGGGGATACAGACTCCAAGGAAGACTAGGATCTCTTTTTTGGCATTTGAGCCCTTTCCTGGTCCCTGGGGGTTCGACCTGGTGGGAGCCAGTCTCTCAGATGCCACCCCAGGAGATGCATGCCTGGGTGGTGTGGCCTGCTGAGGCAGACCATGAGGTTTTCTCCATGCTAAGCATTTTTAGCTGGAGTTTCCTTGCTTTTCTTGTTCTAATTGTTAACTTCATACAGAGAGGGCAATGTTTCATGTAGTGCTCCTCACCCAAACACTGAACACGCTCCAAGTGTCTGTCCAATATAGAAATGGACAGCCTGCAGCTCTTACACATTTTAAATCCTGGTGAGCCAGGTATGTCCCAGTAAAACAGTCTCTTGTGAGCAATGGGACCGTGACTGACTATATGTGGTATAATGAACTCAACTATGCTAATAACTATCAACTTTATCTAAGAACTAATAACAAGGTAAAAGGAGGGCAATTGCTCTGCTGTGACCAAAGCCAGCAGCGGTCAGAGAGGAACTGAGGCGGTGGTTTGCCGTGCGCATAGGATAGCCGTTTCAAAGGTCTCGTGCCAGTGTTCTGCATGCACAGCCAACCGGGTCACAGCTGTGATAATCTCTGATTAGAGGAACAGTGGCGCTGGCGCTCCTCAAGGTGGAGAACCCATGGGGACACGCCTCGAAAAAGAACTGCTTGGTCTGGAAGATGGTGACCACATTAATGTCAAACTGGACAAAGAAAAAGGATAGACAATTCTAGCAGTTGCAAAGAAAAAAAATTCAACTTCAAGGCTGTGTCTAGACTGGCCAGTTTTTCCAGAAAATCAGCTGCTTTTCCGAAAAAACTTGCCAGCTGTCTACACTGGCCGCTTGAATTTCCACAAAAGTACTGACGATCTCATGTAAGATTGTCAGTGTTCTTGCGGAAATACTATGCTGCTCCCATTCGGGCAAAAGTCCTTTTGTGCAAAACTTTTGCGCAAAAGGGCCAGTGTAGACAGCTGAGATTTGTTTTGCGTAAAAAAGCCCCGATCGCGAAAATGGCGATCGGGGCTTTTTTGCAGAAAAGCGTGTCTAGATTGGCATGGACGCTTTTCCGCAAAAAGTGCTTTTGCGGAAAAGCGTCCATGCCAATCTAGACGCTCTGTTCTGAAAATGCTTTTAACGGAAAACTTTTCCGTTAAAAGCATTTCCGGAAAATCATGCCAGTCTAGACGTAGCCCAAGACTATAGTGATCAACAAAAATCACTGACAGCTATAGTTTGTTCCTCAAAAAGAAAAACCAACAAAGCAATCTCTACAGATGACAGATGAAGAACAAGATGATTTGAGGATTCCAAACCAATCACAGCCAGTCATTGCCCCTAATTGACAGCCAAATGACTATGCTTAACATCAAAAATATCATCATAGTGAATTTTGTAAATGGTAGGAATGTAGATATGTAATGAAATGCTAACCTATATTACACTTTTCAGAGAAGCGGCTGTGTTATGTGTTAGTCTGTTACAGCAAAAACAACAAGAAACAATGGCACCTCAAAAACTAACACATTTATTAGGGCTTAAGCTTTCATGAGATAAAATTCACTTTCTTGGATGCTTGAAGTGAAAGAAAGGCAAGAATACAGAGAAGGGAATGTAATATCAGTTACAATTAAAACAGGGTGGATGTAGCTCACCTCTAGCAGTGATGTGAAGGTGAAAGTACCTGAATGGAAAATCACTTATTGTAATGAGACAGCCATTCCCTGACTCTATTCAGACCCATTCTGACTGTACCAAATTTGCACTTGATTTTCAGCAGTTTTGCACTGCAGTCTGGTTTTAAAGATTTTTTGCCTCAGAATGGCAACTTGCAAGTCAGATTAAGAAGAAAAAAAAGAGTCACGTTAAGGAAAGAAAAGAGGTAAATCAATTGCTTAAGTCAATTAAGCCTTGTCATCAACAAACAGCAACAGAAGCGGGACACTGACCTGCAATTATGCCTTCTATTTTTTGCTTTGCAAGAGGCTCCTTCAGCCTCTGTAACAGAAACTTGATGTGGAGCAGGACGATTTTTCCAAGGTCAGGTGAGGACTCAAACCGCTCTGAGATGAACTTCAGAAAATCAAAACCAACCAATTCCCTATTCACAGAGATGCATTTTTAAGGGAGTTGTATAGAAGGGGCTGTTGACTTCCCATTCTGGGATCCAATATATCCATCCCATAAAATCTGTTTTGCATTTAGATTGCTTGTCACACACACACAAAAATAATCTAGTGGTTTAAGCCATCTTTTTCATTCTGAGGAACCAGTTCATAGCAGAAAGATGCTCCATCTCTTCTATGAGCTGTAGCTATACTCCTAATTCTTGACTTTCAACGGCTCTGTGGATCCCTTGAGGTCCACAGATTAGTCTGAGAACTAGTTCCCTAACCAATAATTGCTCATTTGACTCTAGGACAGCCCTGTAACCTGTAAGTCCATAAATATCTACAATTAAAAACATTTAAAGTCTGATTAGTAGTATCAAAAGGAAATAAATACACCTTTAAGGCTAAAATTCCATCCTCGATAGCCTGTATGATTCCCAGATCTAGATCCAACAAAAACACAGAGGGAGAAACAGCGGATGGCAGTGGGGAAATGGAACTTCCTTGCTCACACCCATATTGTTTATAAACTAACTTTTTAATGTTTGTTTCCAGAACTGCAGACACTAAGAATAGTATTTCAAGAGCTTAAGTCCCTGATTAACAGTCACGGAAATGTACTATCATCTAGGGGATAAGAATTTGGCAATATACTCAGTCCTCTGTTGGCAGGTCATAGAAGGACTAAGGGGTAACATGTTTAAACCCCACAGAAGAAAACCCTTTGCAACACCCTCAAGAGACCTGTATCTGTGGTCACTGTGCCCATGGAGTACGTAGGAAAATCCTTAAAGAGACTCCCTCAAAATATCTTTTGTTGGTCCATCTTAGCTTTCCTGCTAGCTGCCAGAAATCTCCCCTTGGTCCTTTTCTGTCATTCTCTAATCTAACTATTGAAAGATGGGCAAAATAAATGTCAACACAACTTCATAACTGGGACCCAAGAAAGTATAATCTCCTTCCTCAGAACCTTTACCATATCACATCAGTGCCTGAACTCACATGCCAGAGAAACAGTTGGTACAAGTTACGCTGAATCCATGTCTAGATCCCTGCAAATCTGTAGCTATCCACTTTCTATCCACAGGTATCTGCATCTGCAAACATGGATCATTTTTGTGGACATGGATGCAGATGCAGATACAAATTTTGTAACTGGAACCCTGAAAATTTGAGGATATCCTCTTTATATCGACATTTGCGGATATCAATGTGGATATCTGCAGCTC